AAATCTTGCGGGACGGGTTCTATAGGGTTTAGGGTTTAGGGTTCAGGGTTTAGTGTTTGTAGGTTAACAAGCTGGTTGTGCAGTGTCTCATGAGTCACTGGCCTGAAGCCTTCGGACCTACGAAGTGTTAGGCAGCGTCAGACATGCTTCAAGCGTGAAGAGCCTCCTTCGTGACCGGACCAATCTCCAACCGGGATCCCTAAGGCCCCCCGTAGGTTGTTTTGTTGTTTGTATTCAGCCCTAAACCCTAAACCCTAAAACCTAAACCCTAAACGCTAAACCCAAGGGAAAATCAAGAACAATACTATTATGAAGGTTCTAAGGGGCGCATAGAGGCTAGTTTGGATGCATGCCCCGCCCCATGCGGTTTAGGCTAGGTTTAGGGTTTAGGGTTTAGGGTTTAGGAATTAGGTTTAAGGTTTAGGGTTTAGGGTTTGTGCTGTGATCGGGCTTCAGCTCCCCGAGTCAAAAGGGTTTAGGGTTGAGGGTTTGTTGCCCCAAGGACCACGCCTACATGGTGCTGCAAGACTTGTTAGACTGTCCTTTGAGGATCGCCGGAGAAGCTTCGAAGAACTGTGGACGCGCCAAAGGAGCGGCAAGGCTGCATGTTTGCCGGTTGCAGCAGGTGCGTGAGCCTCAGTCCATCGACCCCATCTGCCCCCGCGATGCCCTATACGGAGCCCTGTGGCCTTCATCAGTTCGAGCTTCGGGTCTCCCTCAACCCTGAATTCGGTTCCCAGGCGCAGGGTGAAGTTGGGCTTAGGGGTTTTAAAGTGGTTGGGGTCTAGGGTGAAGAAGGGTTTAAGGAAGAGAGCCCGGGTTCAAAAAGGGTTCAAAGTAGGGTGGAGGGGCAAGGTTTCGGGCTTGAGCGACGGGTGTACCCCGACACCTTAACCCCTCAACCCTAAACCCTACACCTTAACCCCTATACCCCAACCTTATGCAACCTCTAGACTCTAGCTGCTGGGCCTGGGCGCAGGCGGCCTAGGACCAGATGAGTCGCTTCTGTGGCCTCATCCGTTTGTTCACCTTTTGGGGTTCACGGGTTCAGAATTTCGGGTTCAGTTGCCTTCAATCACTCAACATCCTAACCCCTACAACCTTGAACCCAATACCTCCGAGACCTATATGCAAGAGGCTTTGTGTTTGAACTGTTATTGGTTGTATACAGGGTTCCTTTCAAACTTTGGTGAATGCACATCTTGGGTGCCTTTTTTTCTGGGGATACTAGTCATAGATACCATACTTCATATTATCTTTTGAGGGTGGCAATCTCCGAAGATCTCGGGAGCGTCATGCCATGAGTACCTACCCGCCTATGGCGCTCCACTACCATAAAAGGGCGGCTGCTCATCTGCTGCCATGTGTTGAATGTGACGCCATATGCCCAAAGAGCCCAACATCTCTTTGAAAAGGAACAGGATCCTATGACTTCAGGTGTATATACCTTTAGTTAGGGGGTATTGGGCTCTTCGGGTGGAATCTGCCCTTGAGACTGTCTTGGAGCCGCGGTGTTCCCTTGCCTGCGCATACTTGCATGATTTGTTCGCACAGCGCTGCTGACATGTTCGTGAGCATCTTAAGGGCTTTGCACAGAAGGTGCTTGCTTGGCACGAAGACTGACTTCTTGAGCAGCTCTTGTTACAGAATGACTCTGGGCGCAACACAGGCACAACGCAAGTGTTTCTGAGCAAGGCTCTGCTCGTCGGCAGCGCAACTATTTTACGTATTGTTTATACTTCAACTAACCTCCCCCCTTACTCTGAGACGACGATCGGCACAAGAGTCAAATCAGTTATAGGAGTAAGGGGAGGGTGAGTTGGAGAGCCTATGATACGTAGTTGTTTTATACTCGCCTGGCATTGAAACGGTATCCTTGCGAGCTCAAGGCCACACTGATTGATGAGGGAATTGTCGACCACAGTCCTTCTCAACCCGCCCATGAAGCTTTGCGGCTTTGGCCTAGGTGTGCAAATCACCGGCCTGCATGGTTTACCTTGGAACCCCGCTTGGAGGTTCATGGGTAGCTAGAAGTAGGGTTTATAAGTCGGCTGGCTGCAGGAGACCTGGATGTAAAAGGGTTATAAGTATGGTAATCATGTGTAACCCCACTTAGGGTACTTAGAACCCTCTAACTACCCATGAACCTCCAGTGAACTCTCATAAGCCCCGAAGCACACGAAAAGGCCCAAGCATTCTTAGAACTCGTCTGGGTGCCAAGCTGCGGGGTTGCCGCCTGCACCGCTAAAGCCAGCCACGATGCAAGCTGGCAGGCACTGTTATAAGGTCCATGTTGGCTTTCATAGGGGTCATAAGGGTGATGAGACAGCCGGACCTAGCAAGAGAGCGCCGCAGAGAGAGAGAGAGAGAGAGAGAGAGCCAGAGAGAGAGCGAGAGAGACAGAGACCGCGTCCTCGAGCGCGCCTCGGGGCAGCCCTTGGGAGGATATGCTAGCTGGAAGGAAGGAAGAGCCCGCTGAGGCGAAGAAGGAGGAGGAGGAGGAGACTAAGAAGCAGTATATGTATATATATATATATATATATATATATGTATGTGCAGACAAGGGCGCTCGACCTTGCGATGGAGCATGATGCGAGTCTTTGCAGTTAGTGAGTGGAAGCTAGTGATCCCTAAACCCCAAACCCCAAACCCCCAAACCCTAAACCCTAAACCTGCAGGCTCTCTGTGTCGCCTCTGCTAGTCAGACTTACCAACCGATGCCTTGCCGGCCTTGTGCGAGTGTGAGAGTCGAAACCCTAAACCCCTCATCCCTTCAAGGAAAGATGTTGTCCGGGACAGGTTGGGATGTTCCTCCTTATACTAACAGTCCTCACCCTAAACCCTAACCCTAGAATCCCTCTTAAGGTGCCCCGTGAGTGTCAGGGGAAACATCCCAAGGGACAGGTTTGAGCTCTCAAGGTTGATAATTACGCTACGAGGCTGTGAATCCGAAGGGTTTAGGGTTTCGGGTTTAGGGTTTAGGGTTTAGGGTTGCTGAGAGAACAGGACCCTACGCTTCTGATTCTGTAAAACAGCCTTATAAGCCTTCGGAGCCCAGGGCTACCCTTCACCCTCTTTTTGGTTCAACGTTCCCTTGTAAAGTATCCAGCCCCCCGACAAAAGGGTGCCCTTATAATATTATACGTACATATAGATATATATACATATACCGTATATATATATACACATAAAAATATATACATATACATATATATATATATATATACATATACCTCGTTACTGGGCAACCAAGAAGCCCCAGATCGCAAGTCGCCTTGTCACATCGTGCGCAGAGCTTTGGCGTCCTCGGCCGGCGCGCATTGTTGCTTGAGATGCCACGAGGGTCCCGCCTTGGGGGTTGGAAGGGTTCTTAAAAATTCTGAATCCCCGTTTCCCCTTAACACCCTGTAGGCCCCTCCTATAAAACCCCTTCAAGCCCTCTAAACCTTCGGTGCTTGCGTTCCATGTCGTTCTTATGGCAGTGCCTACAAACATTAGGGTTCCTAGGGTTTCTTGGGCTTGTTGGGCTTACTTGTCATGCTAGGAGCTGCAGACGCAGCTTGCTGTTTGGCCGAGTTTGCCTGATCACATCTTTCTGGTACAAGACGGGACCCCCCTTACTAACCTAACTGTAGTTAAGGGCCTTATAACCGACTTTAGGATCCTTAGAACCCGGATTTAGGGTTCTTATAACTCTACTTATAACTAGGGGGATCATCTTTCTGGTACACCCCTTGAGAACACTAGGACCGATGTGCAGCTTCGACTGCGCATGCATGGGTACGGTCTTCTTGGGAGGGAAGTTGGGATCATTGAAGATCTAACCCTAAACCCTAAACCCTGCACCCTACACCCTAAACCCTAAACCCTAAACCCTAAACCCTATCTTTGTCGATGGCGGGACCTGCTGCACCCATGAAACATGCGCTTCAAGGTGGCTGCAAAGTCAGAGAGCCCCCCCCACAAGCGTCAGCGCCATAGGGTTGACTTGAACCTCCTTGGAGGTGAGACCGCCAGCTTGAATAATATAGGGGCCGGAATAATTACGAATCGTTTGCCCTTATGGCCCAATAACCCCCCAAAACCCCATTCTAATCATTAAGGTCCCTATGTTAGAGTTTCGAAAAACTCGGGTTTGTGCCTCAGGGACAGTTGTCCCCAGGCACGAATGTTAATGACTCAAGATGATGAGCAAGCTGGAGGTCTCGCACTTGGAGGCTCTGCCCTACCTTGTGGGCATAGCCATCAGCGGAGTCGCTCAGGTTGCCCCGCATGTGCCTGTGATTGCCGCAGAGCCTGTGCGCGGATGCACGCGCTGCGGTCCCTACCTGAAGCAAAGCATGCGGAAGGCCTGCATGGGCATTCTATGTGTGGTGTCGTTCCTTGCGCAGTGCTTCCTCGGCAGGCGGTCCAGATGCTGGCAAATCCAAAGGCAGAGTGCCGGACTTGTCGACCCGATCATTCAACCCGATCTGGCCCCCAAACCCTCCGACAGCTCCCGAAGTGATGTGGCTATCAGCTGACGAGTGCCTTGTGAAGAGCAAAAAGGTCTTCTGTTGTGGCTAGGCTGTGCACGTGCCTTGGAAGCAAGCTTCGAGGAACATGGAGCTGTTGCTACATGTCTACGCTACAGCACACAGGCACGAGTACCTCGTGTTTCCATTGCTACTGCGTTATGCCTGCTCCTCGGCGTTTTGCAATCTAGCGTCTCTAGTGTCGTTGGTATCCACACGCCCCCCCGGGCCCCATGGCCCAAAACCCTATTAAAGTTCCGACCTCCAGGAGTACACAACATGTGCCAGTGAACTCTCACTTGCTTACACTTGCCTGCCGCACCCGACAGCCAATCCAGCATTCAACGCAAGTGCGCAGGTCGATTTTTGGCATCAAAAAACCCCAAACCCTAAACCCTCAACCTCAAACCCTAAACCCTAAACCCCAAACCCTAAACCCTAAACTCCAAACCCTAAACCCAAAAGATCAGACTGAGCTGCTGGCAGGCTTCCTCCATGCCTGGCTCGCAGGGCGGCCCCCAGCCGTGGCCATGGCCCTGGGTGCCTGGGTTGCGGCCTCAGGAACCTCACCGCGGTTTAGGGTTTAGGGTTTAGGGTTTAGGGTTTAGGGTTTAGGGTTTAGGGTTTAGGGTTCCGAGGACGCTTGGCTCTTAGGAATGGGCCCGTAGTATGGGCCCTTAAAGGGGGACCCCTCGTATGCCCCTTATGTACCCCCCTGAAAGGAGGTCAGGGGCCATGTGAGTACCCTTAGATTGGAAGGAAGTGCTTAGTAGCTGAGTAGGTCACCTTTTAGCTTTTTTGGGGTCGATATAATCCTACCATAGTTGAAAGGCTAACCTTTTTTGGGCCCAGGGTAATGTGGTATCCTGATTAGTGTGGGCCCCCCCCCCCCAAACTAAATCCACCCCCGCAATAGTGTCACCAAAAAAAGGGACCCCCCCAAACTAATTTTCGGCCCCGGGCCCCCCCCACCGGCTCCTCTTCATTTCCTCTTCGCTCCTCTTCCCTCTCCTCTTCCTCTCCCTCTCCTCTTAGGTAATTAAGCTCAGGTAAGCTCAGATGAGCTCTTTTCTTTCATCATCTTGTTCTCTTTTTTTCTCTCTTCCGAAACCCATGCCCGAAAAACTGTACTTTATTGTGGGGGGGCAATCGAATTTTTGTCTCCTGAATAATTTTTGGAAAACTTTTCATTATTGGAGGGGTCCAGACTAATCAGGATACGACATTACTCAGCAACTAGGAGTGTGTGTGTGGGGGGGGGGGGGTACTTGTGCATATACTTTTCCGCAGTGGTAACAGGCTTGTGCTTGCAGTTGCATTGGCATGCGAGGTCATTTCTTGTTATATAAGAACATATGATAAAGTTCCCTAAGCCCGAAAAGCTTGTTAACATCAAAAAAGTATGCAGACACATATATTATCTCAGCAGCAACAGACCCCAACAGCGTGGGATATCATCAGCCGGCGTGTAGTCGTTTTTGCAAACGGAATCGAAAAAGAAACCTCGCAAGATTGAAGCAATGTTCAGGTGTTGGACAGGCACATCTTTCGGGCAAGAAAGCGGTGGCAAAAGCAAGCGCTAAAAACTATAGGAACCAAAACTTGCTGCGTGCGCACATACAGATATCTTTTTGCGCGCAAAGATTCCGCCGGCGATACAACCTCGGCTGTCCGTCGCGGTCTTGTGACACAATTGTGACATTTTCTGCGCGCACACGTGGATTTCACTCTGTTCGCACAAATATCGTATATATTCATATCAGAATGCTGCTGCATTCGAATCGAGCTGTCGCTAAGCCACGCGCGCGCGCGCGCGCGCGCATTCAAATTGCCTGGCGTTGAAACGGGAGAGCCGGTATGTCGTCGAAAGGTCACCTTGATCTTCCAATAGTCCCTTGAAAATGAACGGCTATTCCGATAAAAGTATACACTTTTAAAAGGACTTTAACATAAACACAACATAAACGCTATTGTCTATAATATAAACGCTTAATCTTTTTATTGTGGGGCAAATGGAAGGAAGTAAATCTAAATGTTGCTCCTTGACACAGGGATGCAAGGAGGGGGGAAGGGCCCGACACTGCCAATTACTTGTGCAACAAGTTCAGCATGAATGCTGTTTTTCCGTGCACGCAGGCTTTCCATGTGCATACTGGCTCAAGTTGCTTTAAAAGATTGTGGCCGTAGTCTGGCATGGCGTCCGAGCAGAGTAAGAAGGCCAGCCCCAAGAAGCAACACACAGCAACTTTTCTCACAGGTGAGCAGATATCCTTTCACTCTTTCTGGGACCTCCTGATCCACCTTGCTCTTCTTCTGTGCTATGTCGGTTCAGCTTGTGTTCGGGATGTTTTGCTCGAAGCTGTCAAAACACCAGCTGTATTTGAGTAAACATCCCCCAATAAGCAAAACCTAAGCTTTGTACTAAAAACTTTACCTCAAGCAATCATCCCCCAATGAGCAAAACCTAAACTCTTTTGAACTGCCACATATTGAATAGCTATAATCAGCCCTCCCCCCCCCCACCTCCCCCTGATAAGCAAGCAGCTTAACTACTTGAACTCTGAACTAAACACTGCACCTTAGCTAACACATTGTATTTCCGTTCTCATCCTCCGATAAGCAAACCAGGGCAAACCAGAAATAACTCTGCGCCGATAACTGTACCTCAAGCAATCACCCCCCAAACTTTGCACTACGCTGTACCTTAGCTAACACTTTGCAATTTCAGTAATCATCCAAAGAAGCAAAATTCAAACTCTGTACCAACACTATACCTTAGCTAGCCACATTGCATGTCCCCCCCCCCAAAAAAAAAACAAAGCCTGAACTCTGTACTAAAACCGCATGGTATTTCAGTTGTCATCCCAAGCAAAACCTAAACTCTGCACTAACACCTGCATAGTTACGCACATATCTAATTAAAACACATACGCCCACAAAGATGATATATATATATATATACACGTATTGTTTGAAGTGGAACGCTGTGGGAATAGTCCTTTGATGAACACTCAATTGCAGCTCCTTAGTTGTTGTTTACTAATCTGGTTCCACGGCCTAGGTTGGGCGCAATATTGAAAACATTGCAAAAACTCAATATTTCAATATTGGGCTGGATCCAAGATCCAAGATCCAAGATTTCACAGTTTTTTCGGAGGCCATCTTGGATCCAGGGCGCAGGCTGGAACCAACCTTGGAATATTGAAAGGGTTTCAAGACTTCAATATTGGGGGGAGTGTCCTGGCTGGATCCAAGATTGTTTTGCGAAATCTTTGGACGTCGGACCTTGGATCCAGCCCAATATTGAAAGGGCTTCAATACTGCAACATTGGGGGAAGCGGGGCGGCCACAACCAGGGACCAAGAGTCCACGTTCTTTTGGCAAGCGGTCTTGTCTGTTTCGATGTTTTAATATCGACCATCACGATCCAACAAAAAACGAGAAAGCAAACAACGCAACAAACTCATTCTAACAAACAGGCTCCCGCAGCCTCCTCTGTTGTAAAATTTAAGGCTTCGCGTTTAGAGGTGTTTATATAAAAAAATATAGAAAGGTGTGTGTGTGTGTGTATTTATTGTGAGTTTTTGATTTTGGTTCATGTATTTATTCACTTGTGTTTGGAGTTGAAGTTTTGGATCGACTATGTCGATGAAAGGGCTTATTATATACAGGGGTCTGACTTAGGTTCAAGGTTTCGGGTTCAAGGTGATGTTTAGGCGCTCATGTTTAGGGATTAGGTCTAGGGTTCCGAGTCCATGGTTTTGGATTGAGGGCTGAGGGTTTAGGGTTTTAGGGCTTAGGGCATGGGATTCAGGGTTTAGGGTTTGGTGTTTCAGGGGCAGGGGAGTTAACCCGATTTAACTCGAGTTAAGTCTCAGAGCCAACCCGAGTTAACTCGAGTTAACTGTCAGACCCAACCCGAGTTAACTCGAGCTAACTCTCAGAACTCGAGTTAACTCCCCAAGACCTCTTATTTTCCTTTTAACTCGCAGAGCCAACCCGAGTTAACTCGAGTTAACTCACCTAAAAGCATCTCGGCTCCGAACCATACTCCTGAAACCAGACAGACCCTCAACCCCGAAATCATGAATCCTGAGCACCCGAAATTCTGAACCCGTAACGCCCCCAAAGCCCCCCCAAAAAAACCCCAACCCAAACTCCACGCAAAGATGCAGACCCTAAACACCCGCAGTCCCAAAACCCCAAAACTTCACCATGACCCCTGAGTATTTTTTTCTTTGATATATCTAGGAAAGGCTTAATTAGGGTCTGGCGTTTGAGGTTTATGGTTTGTTGCTTGGGGTTTAATCATCAACCCGAAGCAATAACCCCACTTTAGACCCTAAACCCCAAACCACCGTTGAACTCTACATCTCCATCCGTAAGCCCAAGAGACCACAACCCCCTGAACCCTCAACAAAAAACAACCAACCCTGGTCAAAACTGTATACATCCCTCAACCCCAAACCTCAACCCCTATAACCTTGAAGCCCAAGCCACCAGCCTCGGCCCCGCCCCAAACCCTATTGCCCAAGCCACGCCCGTAACGACAGCGCGAATGCAGCAGCATTTTGATATGAATATATACACGATGGCTGTGCGAACAGAATGAGATCCACGCGCGCACGCAGAAAAGCAGCAGTTGAGTCACAAGACCACGACGGACAGCCGAGGTTGTCTCGCCGGCGGAATCTTTGCGTATAATAAAATATCTGTATGCGCGCGCAGCAAGTTTTGGTTCCTATATTACTATTGCTTTTAGCCTTTGCTTTTGCAATCGTTGTCTTGCTATGCCCTGACCCTTCAATAGACGCTTTATATCAGCTTTAAGCGCCGCTTACAAGAGACTTTTGTGAGTGTAACAGGCGGTTAGCATAAGGGCCTGTTGTTTTAACAAGCGTAGTTTTTAACACAATAAGCTTTTATGTTAGAGGCAACAAGCGCTTACATTTTAGCTATAAATAAATAAATATATATATATATATATAAACTAAATTTTTCGTAGTCGGTCCTTCTTTTCCCTCGTCCTCTCTTCTTTCCAGAGGTCCTGAATATTTGTATGTTTGCAAACCTCCTCATCTCCCTAAACTCTCACTTGACCAGAGCAGGGGCTTTTTTGTATCACCTTGAAACACTTTCTGTGGAATATTGGATCTTGGATCTTGGATCCAGCCCAATATTGAAATACTGAGTTTTTCCCACACATAAATATTGCGGGGCCAGATAAGCATAAACCCTGGTACAGAGTTTGGTTTTGCTTAGTGGGGGGAAGGGGGCGGGGGGGGGGGGGTGATTATTGAAATAAAATGTGTGTTACCTCAGGCACAGTGTTTAGTGCAGAGTTTAGTTGCCCCAAAAATCTCCAAAAATCTGAGGGAGCAGGGCTTGGGCTCACCAGATTACAAACCCCAAGCGTATTCGCTGTTTGTGGCTCAACTGCTGCGTTTGATGCGACCACACATGGATCTCATTCTGTTCGCATAAATATCGTGTGTATTTTCAATATACTCATATCAAGATACTGCTGCATGCGCTGTTGCGCTCTCCGTGCCGCGTGCTGCGTCCGGCGCGACACACTCCGGTGCGACACACACGGAAAGGCTCGCGACAAGATCGTGCACGAACGCTGTTGCGCGGGCACACATGGGTGTCTCGCCGTTCGCACGGATCTGCTCTTGCACTAGACAGCCGCGTCTTACACGACCACACAGACATCAGGTGTTGGGTAGGCATATATATTTTTGCGGCAAGAAAGCGGTTGCAAAAGCAAGGGCTAAAAACTATAGGAGCCAATATCTTTTGGCACGCGAAAGATTCCGTCGGCGAGACAATCTCGGCTGTCCGTCTCGGTCTTGTGACTCAACTGCTGCGTTTGATGCGAGCACACATAGATCTCATTCTGTTCGCGTCGTGTGTGTTTACAATATATTCATATATCGACATACTGCTGCTTTGCTGTTGCGCTCTCCCTGCCGCGTGCTGCGTCCTGCGCGACACACGGAAAGGTTCGCAAAAAGATCGTGCACGAATGCAGCTGCGCGGGCACACATGAGCGTCTCGCCGTTCACGCGGATCTGTTCTTGCGCTAAATAGCTGCGTGGTATACGACCACACAGACAGCAGCTGTTGGGCAGGCATATCTTTACGGCAAGACAGCGGTTGCAAAAGCAAGGGCCAAAAACTGTAGGAACCAAAACTTGCTTCGCACATACACACGGCCAGCCCACATGGATCTCATTCTGCTTGCGCAGACATGTTACAATAGTGGCCCCCCCCCCCTTGCAAGTACAGTTACAAATCCGTTACAACGTCCTTAAGGTCAGTTACACGTCTGCTAAGTAAGCCCTAAACATACAAGTCTGGATAAGCGAGATACAGAGTTTTATATGAAAGGAGATAGGAAAAGATAGCAGACATAGCCAAACTATCTTGTTTGGTCCTGCTTTTTTTGTTGGGGGGGGGGAATTATTTGCGGGACGGGATTTGCGAAATTTGCACAGACAGCAACCGTGAGCAAGAGCCGCTCGACGCATTTCTCTCGGCCGCTGCCATGTTCGAAATGCGTATATAGCATGGAACACAGACTGATTTACTTTATGAGCGGATGAATATAGGGTTTGTGCTTTGCAAGCGCGTCCTTGCTTTTTGAATTGTAGCAATCCATGCCGACATGTAGCTTTGATGCAGCTTCCTGGTTTAAGTTTTCCTTAGCTGGTTTGCCGATGTACTACCCTAAATCCTAAATACCCTGAAACCTTGAAGACGCTAGTTTTTTCGGTGAGGGCGAAAACTCGCTTGCAGTGTGTTTCGCTAGCTCAGCGGGGAAACTCGCTTAGACCCCAAACCCGAAAACCCGGGGAACCCTAAACCTTGGAGATGCTCTTTTTTTATTGAGGGCAGGCGTGCGGGCAGCTGTGTGGCCACAGACATGATGTGGCGCCAAAAAACGTGTGGATACGTATGTGTCCGCGCACTTTCGATCCCAAAACCATGTGGGCGCATGTGTGACCGCGTGTTTATCCCAGCAAAGACATGTGGACGCGTGTGTGTCCGCTTGTGTCCGCTTGTGTGTCCGCTGGTGTCTTGAGGCGTGGGCGTGCAGGTATCCGCAGCTTCCTCCAGAAAACAATAGTGGGCGCACATGTGTCCGCAGCTTCCGCCAGAAAAACAATAGTGGGCGTACATGTGTCCGCAAGCATACCTGTTTCACGTACCTGTGCGCAGAAGGGTCCGTCATGCGTCGTTTGAAACCATTTCTAAAGAAACTCGCTGGGTGCCTGTAGCGAGGAAACTCGCCGAAGGTATACCTGTAGCCGGGAAGCTCGCCTGCCTAAGACCCTCAGACTTGCATCCTTGTGCTTCTGTCTCTTTAGTTGAACTGAGTGGTGCCGGGAATGTTCTGAACTGTTGGGGCTTTGTATCGCCCAGCTCGTGCCCCTCAAAGTTTGTGTTGCCTCATCGTGGTTGTGCAACCATGAATTGTCCGAACTTGCAGGAACACTTAAACTCAAATCTAATACCAACAAACCCTTCGAAATATAATATTAACTCGCTCCAAACTCCTAAGTGCGCCTTGGGGGGCTAATGTCAGCTCCTTGCCAAAATCTAAAAATGTCATAGTGCAAAAAGATAGAAAAAGATACGGAACTTGCAAGTCTACTTGCTAAGTTGCCTATGTCGGACTCACGCTAAGTACTTGTAAGTCTGCTATGTCCATATGCAACTCACGCTAACTATCGCTAACTACTTGTAAGTGGGGGGCCCTCTCTCGTAGTGCGTGCCGTGTGCTGCGAATCACACACGCATATCTTTTTTTTCGGCAGCACACATGGATCTCATTCTGCTTGCACAGGCACGTGAGTGCGCTCAAACTGCCTGGCGCTGTTTTCCTTCCTCGGTGGAATCCCTGAACACTACTTTTCAATTGCCCAGGTGCAAAAAGTCACAGTAGTTTGGCGCGCGCACGTCCCTTACCTTTCCGCGAAGCCGTGCACAAAATCTAGTCACCGACCTTCTCCCTTACCAGATTGCAAGCCCCAAGCGCACCCGCAGTTGGGGAAATATGTTGTAACTGATGACTGTTGCACCATGACGACAGCTTTGGCTGCAAAGTCGGACTACGCTGGGTTTCAAAATCAGAGCACGCACGAGCAGCAGAGAAACAGCACGGAGATGTGAAAAAGGATTGGGAGGGGGGTCGGAAAACGTTCAAAAAAAAACAGGTGCGACAACATTGTTGCGTTCTCTGTGCCGCGTACTGCGTACGGCGCGACACACGGGAAGGTTCGTGCACGAATGATGTTAAGGCACACATGGGTGTCTCGCCGTTCGCGTGGATCTGTCCTCGCGCTAAACAGCCGCGTCGTACACGACCACATAGACATCAGGTGTTGGCAAGGCATATTGTTATGGCAAGAAATCGGTTGCAAAAGCAAGGGCTACAAACTATACGAACCCGAGCTTGCTACGCGAGCATACACACATATCTTCTGTCTTTTGGCACGCAAAAGATTCCGCCGGCGAGACAATCTCGGCTGTCCGTCGCAGTCTCGTGACTCAACTGATGCGTTTTATGCGAGCACACATGGATCTCATTCTGTTCGCACAAGCATCGTGCGTATGTACAATATATCCATATCAACATACAGACTGCTGCTTCGCTGTTGCGCTCTCCGTGCCGCGCGCTGCATCGTTGGCTGGCCATATTTTTGCGGCAACAAAGCGGCTGCAAAAGCAAGGGCTAAAAACTATAGGAACCAAACCTTGCTACGCGAGCATGCACACATATCTCTTGGCACGCAGAAGATTCCGCCGGCGAAACAATCTCGGCTGTCCGTCGCAGTCTTGTGAGTCAACTGATGCGTTTCATGCTAGCACACATGGATCTCATTCTGTTCGCACAAACATCGTATATATTTACAATATATATCCGTATCAACATACTGCTACTTCGCTGTTGCGCTCTCCGTGCCGCGTGCTGCGTTGGCTGGGCATATTTTTACGGCAACAAAGCGGTTGCAAAAGCAAGGGCTAAAAACCTATAGGAACCAAACCTTGCAACGCGAGCATACACACATATATACAGCCAGCCCACATGGATCTCATTCTGCTTGCACAGACATGTTAGTGCGCGCCGTGCGCTGCGAACGCACACACGCGTATCTTTTTTTTCGGCAGCACACATGGATCTCATTCTGCTAGCATACACACATATCTTCTGTCTTTTGGCACGCAAAAGACTCCGCCGGCGAGACAATCTCGGCTGTCCGTCGCAGTCTCGTGACTCAACTGATGCGTTTGATACGAGCACACATGGATCTCATTCTGTTCGCACAAGCATCGTGTGTATTTACAATATATCCGTATCAACATACTGCTGCTTCGCTGTTGTGCTCTCCGTGCCGCGTGCTGCGTTGGCTGGGCATATTTTTACGGCAACAAAGCGGTTGCAAAAGCAAGGGCTAAAAACCTATAGGAACCAAACCTTGCAACGCGAGCATACACACATATATACAGCCAGCCCACATGGATCTCATTCTGCTTGCGCAGACATGTTAGTGCGTGCCGTGCGCTGCGAACGCACACACGCGTATCTTTTTTTCGGCAGCACACATGGATCTCATTCTGCTTGCACAGGCATGTTTGTGCGCTCAAACTGCCTGGCGCTGTTTTCCTTCCTCGGTGGACTCCCCGAAGACTACTTTTTAATTGCCTAGGTGCAAAAAGTTACAGTAGTTCCGCGCGCGCACACGTCCCTTACCTTTCCGCGAAGCCGTGCACAAAATCTAGTCACCGACCTTCTCCCTTACCAGATTGCAAACCCCAAGCGTACCCGCTGTTGGGGAATAAGCCCTTGTGAATATCCAAAAAGTATACAGATACGTATATATCTGGCACAAGGTGCCCGAAGACCCTGGATGGTACCAACCCCAAACCGCAAGCCGCAAACCCTGAACCCTGGTCCCTAACCCTAAACCCTAAACCCTAAACCCTAAACCCTAAACCCTAAACCCTAAACCCTAAACCCTAAACCCTAAACCCCAGCAGACTGCGGCAGAGGTGGCCACGCAAAAGCTGAAGACTCTGGGTGCCAGCGCCGCCGCCTTGTGACAACCAACTTGAGAGGTATGGGTTCAGGGTTTAGGGTTTCGGGTTTAGGGTTTAGGGTTTATAAGGGTTTATTAGGGTTTATAAGGGTTTAGGGTTTAGGGCCTGTAGGGTTTAGGGCCTGTAGGGTTTAAGGCCTGTAAGGTTTAGGGCCTGTAGGGTTTAGGGCTCTGGACCTCGTGGAGCTTGCGAGTTTAGTCCCGATGATGTGCTGGTTCACAGTGCAGTCGTGCTCGGTTGCTCAGATGTCAGAGACAGCGCCGAGTAAACATTAAACCCTAAACCCCCAGCCCTAAACCCTAAACCCGAAAGAGCGATATAGAGCAGATTAGCACAGCCCCTGCGCAAGGATGACCCGAAACCCTAAACCCCTAGCCTGGGAAAGCTTGGCCAGGGCTTGGCGCGGACTTCGATGCCTCGAAGATGCCCCTTTGAGGCGCTCGCGCAAAGAAAGGTTCCGGGGGTTGAAGGGTTTAGGGTTCAGGGTTTAGGGTTGGGATGTTCCCCCTTATACTTATACTAACAGTCCTTAGTAGAAATTATGATAGGGGGTACTATAATCCCTATAGAGGACTGCTAGTACGGGGGGGAACATCCCAAGGTGTATGGGTAGGTCTCTAACTTAGGGTCCCTTTTTGCTACCGCTCGCGGGGTCAAAAAGGGCCCCTTTTTGAGATCCCTCTTTAAAAGGGTGCCGCCTTCCAATGGGTACCCAAAAAGGGACCCTGGTTTAGAGAACTACCCTTATGGGTTCAAGGCTTTGGGGTCTTGGCAGTGAGGGTTTAGGATTAATGAGGGTCGAGGGGCCGAGGGCCCTATCAACCCCAAAATGCAAAAGGGCGGGCGTTAAGACTCGCCTGGATGCAAAAACGCAATAGGATTGAGCTCTGGTGGCTTGAAAGAAGTGGGTCGTATATGGTGGGCTTCCTGTGAGTAAGGGACCCCTTATATAGATCCCCAAAAAGCGGGGCACCCCTACTATCGGACCCCCCCCCCCCCGCCCGCAATGGTTTAGATGGCTTAAGCAGCCTTGATTTGGGAACCGTTGAGCCTATTAGGTTTGAGGGGTTTAGGGTTGAGAGGTTTCGGGTTTAAGTTTTTAGGGTTTTGAGGTTTAAGGGTTTTGAGGGTTCTGAGGCTGGGGCATTTTGTAGAGCCATTGCTCATCGCTGCTGTCAAGAACATATAGGTCCAGCTTCTTCACCCCACTCCTTCTGCCTCCGTCACCAAAAGCCTACTTGGAAGCTCTTTTGACTTAGTAAGTCTGCTTAGTTCACCTATTTGAAAGCCTATTACAATCCCTATTACCCACCTTCGTAGCCAGCCAAAATGGCTTCCAAGTAAGCCCAAAGCCTGCGCTGGCATGAGAGCTTCTCTTCCCACTGGGTAAGGGCAGGGTGGGTGCTGGCTTTCCTCTCGAGATACATACGATTGGTGATCATAGAGTGGAAGATTTGCTACTAGTTTCTTTAGAAGCCCCAAGAAGTAAAGAATAATAACACCTATATTGCCCAGTTTGTTGGGTAGTGCTTAAGAAAATAGTAGTTTTAGGCACATCTTCCTTCGGGCTTTGATGGCATAGGTCGCTGGCGTGGACTTTGGCCGGCGCTGGCGCTGCTGCTGCGGAGCATTAATTGGTTCTTCATTTTTTCAGCGTCGCAAAAAACATAAGCTGACAAAGGAACGTTGCTGGCGAATGCATCAGCTTTCGGTTTCAGTCGGCTACATGGCCACAAGCTGGAGCTACGGTAGCTGGTATTGGTTATGGTACTGTGAGGCATCTGATTCAAAGCGAGTTTCTGCACTCCGCACCCCAAGCGGCCAGTGCATGACCTTTCATGTCACGCATTTGCGTTTGCGGTCGTCTCTTACGAGTTGTGTCTTGATGAGCTCATTCCTTTGCCCTCGCACGTCTATCGATCTTGTTATCCTTTTTGCCCGCCGTGCGTGTCGCTTGGACCAAAATCTTCGTGAGTCAGGTGGGAAAAGTGGAAATGGGTTCTAGTCGTATTGCAGCACGCACGTTACCATGCCATGCTCACAGAGCTGAAAATTTGCCAGTTGCAGAAGTCAAGAGGGTTGCGCCGTTGCGCCATGAACCGGCTGCTGCCCAACCCATGGCACAAGGAGGTAGCCTGCCCTTTATAGGGTTCAGGGTTTGGGGTTTAGGGTTTAGGGGAAGTTCAGGGTTGCGCAGAACTGGAGAGCCAGCTTCTGAAGTCGGAACTGAAGCATGAAGAAGTTCCATTGCAGAGTCGGTAGCAACCTTCAACAATCCCACACCCTATCAAACCCTAAACCCTAAACCCTAAACCCTAAACCCTAAACCCTAAACCCTAAATACCAGCCCCAACGGCTCCGCAGCTCGATGAGAAGCCAAAGTCCTCACCAACCCAAAGCTTTGGTCAGTCTCATTTAGGGCTTCGGGTTGAGGAAGGGGGTTCCGAAAGAAGAGGGTTTCCCTTTTTGGGGGTTTGGGGTATATGAAGCCCCCTAAACCCTAAACACTAGAAGGGCAATTACCCCTATCTTGAGGAGAATTCCCGAAATGTCACGGCAGGGTTGGGGATCAAGATGGCGGCCGGCGGCTCTGGGCTGGGTCATCACGGAGTGAAGGGTTTAGGGTTTAGGGTTAGTTAGGGTTTAGGGTTCAGGGTTCAGGGTTCAGGGTTCAGGGTTCAGGGTTTAGGGTTTAGGGTTTAGGGGTTTAGGGTTTAGGGTTTAGGGGGTTAGGGCTTAGGGTTTAGGGTTTTGGGTTTTGGGTTTTGGTTTTGATCCAGGCGAGGACGTGCGCAAGCCTGCTGCAAAGGGTTTAGGGTCTAGGGTTTGGGACTGTTTAGGGTTTAGGGTTTAGGGTTTAGGGTTTAGGGCTTAGGGCTTAGGGCTTAGGGCTTAGGGTTTAGTACGTGCCCTTGACCAGGCCGAGGTGGCCGAGAAGTCCGCAATGGAGAAGAGGCGCCACCCGGGATGTGCCGAACCCTTGCATTCTTCCTTGGGGACCCCTTGTGAACCCTAAAAGGGTTTAGGGTTTAGGGTGTGGTTCAAAAGAGACCACTTGTGAACCCTAAAAGGGTTTAGGGTTTAGGGTGTGGTTCAAAAGAGACCACTTGTGAACCCTAAAAGGGTTTAGGGTTCAGGGTGTGGCTCAAAACCCATTGTTTTTGACTTTTGGCCGCTTAGAAGGTAGTCTTATTCTGAAAGTTTGAACTTTTTACCCCATGGGTATTTGGGAAGTAAGATAACCCTAAAAGGGTTTAGGGTTCATATACCAAGTAGGGTTTTCCGGCCGACCCCAGCCCGGACGCAAAAAGGGTTTCGGGGTTTAGGGTTGGTCTGCCACAGGACATGATGAGGGCCTTTGGTGGGGGGAAGATTGGGCGTTGTGTTCTAGCCGATTCTAGCCTGGGATCCCCTTTCTTCAAGCTGTTGTCATCTGTCAGGCTTCAGTATCGGAAACCTCTGAATTCAGAAGAGCTCCGTAAAGCCCCAATGTCTGCCTCGGAAGGGAACACCCGCCGCGGCAGGCGCATGGTTATTGACGAGGAGGATGGCTGTTACGTCCCAGCCAGGGGCTGAAATTCTGAGGGTCCTACTAACCCGAATACCTAAACCCCAAACCAGAGAGTGCCTAAGCCCTAATTTACCTAGGGAACCCAGAATCATCATGCCCTGCTTTACTTTAAGGGACTTCTTTAGGGACACCCTCCCCAGTCCTTGGAGGTTAGTTCGTGGGTAGCTATAAGTAGGGTTATTCATAGGGTAACGATATGTATAACCTTACATAAGGTACTTACAACCCTACTTGTAACTAGGCTATACTAGCTATACCTATGAACTTCCGCTTCGTTTTCTTGGGGTTTCTGGGGTTTTGGTGCCCTCAGCTGTTTTGAGGTGTAGAATACAACATGTAGGTAGAGCCTATGGTCCACCCTAAACCCTGAACCCTACCCCCTGCTAGGGTTTAGGGTTTAGGGTTTCCGCCCTAATTGAACCCCTAAACTGCATGTTGTTTGGGTAGGCGTGCAACGAGCCGTGCTTAGGGGGGATTGAGGGCTCCAGGAGCCCTTGCATACTTCATGCAATCTGCTCCCAACACGATCTCGATCCACAAACAAGCGTTAACTTAGGGATACCTCGAAAAACAGAAATATATATATATATATATGTATATATATCTATATATATTAAAATGGGTACTTCAATTCCTAAGAAACAGCTAAATTTTTAGTTTTTAGCTAGGGTTCCAGTCATGCTGAGGGGCCTCCGGCGGCCCCCCTGCGACTTCTGCCGACTTCGGGGCCCCCTAAGCCCTGCCTTGAGCGAGTCGAAGTCCCCCCCAAAGCCCCGAAACCCGAAGCCCCCCCTAAACACCCTAAATCCTGAGCCTCAGTCCTTGACCGGGATTTCAATAAGGGGGTACTGGAATCCCTATATTAAGGACTGTTAGTATTAGGGGGAACCCCCCTAAACCCAAACCCTAAGCCCTAAACCCTAAACCCTAAACATCCCAACCCTAAACCGCCATAAACACCCGAAAGCCTCTTCAGATTCAGACGTCGGACAACAAGACCTTCAGGTGCCACAGAGCCGGTTCTTCCAACTTCGTTTTTTTTTTTTTTTGTTGAGGGTCCTTTTTTTCTACTGGTTCTTCCGAGGGCTTGGGGTTTAGGAGGGATGATGAGGCACCTAGAAGGCCAGTTGAAGATTTGGGGGGGGGGGGGGGGGTAGGGTTGAGATGCTGGGTCTGACCCCTAAACCCTAAACCCTTTGACAGCTCTGGGATTGAGAAATGAACTGCGCCCCTTCTCAGCCCCTGCCAAGCAAGAGCCCCCATCACCGAGCCGATGTCCTCAGTCCGAGCAAAGATGAAAAAATCTCCTGTCACCCCAAAACGGGGCGTGGGGTAGCTGTGAAGACTCGGAAATTTAGGGTTTAGGGTTTAGGGTTTAGGGTTTAGGGTTTAGGATGACAAAGAGCCACACAAACCAGTTTCGGCTCGAAGTGTTGCACATCAAGAGCCTGTTGAACGCTATGTCACCTCCCGGGCGCTTCTGGGTGCGTCAGGCTGGTGCCCAAGGCCATCCTCAAGCCAGAGCAGTTTCCCAAGGTGGCGCCCGACTTCCGCCGCAAACGTTCGTGTCATGAGTTTGTAGTGCTAGCGCGAGATGTTCACAATTCCGGGGGTCTCTTCTACTTCTTCAGGGAAATGAAGGTAGTGTAGCACTGGGGTCGAACGGTCGCCTTGCTAAAGCGCCACACTCGGGCGAAGTTTGAGTCCATGTCCTCAACATGCAGGTCGATCGTCCGAAAAAGCTACAACGTGTTACTACGGTTCCCCTCACCCCCCGGCTCCTCAAGGCACATGTCTGCGGGGTGGAGCTTGCGAGCTTCAGTTGTCAACAGCTCACACTGTGGGAACGGTGTAGGTTTTTGGG